CGAGCGAGGGAGGAAGGGGAAGGGGGGGGGGGAGAAGGGGAACTGGGAATAGAGAGTATGTTCGCGCGGAAACGAGCAGCTTCCATTGTACAGCGATAGCGACAAAGTGTGTGTGCAGTCATATAGCCTACCCTGTTCCTCCATTCGAAAAAAAACACTCACTTGGAAAATACGAATACACCATATAGAAACCCGACGATTTTCGTTAAACGCACAACTTTAGGAGCGTCGCGATAAATAGTTAGCGAGCGATAGTTATTAAGTAGCGATATCGATAATTATTAGATGCACCTGGTAGTAGTTATGCGAAGAGAGACTCGTAACACCTGCGCGGCAAGAGAGTCGATAGAGGCGGGAAGATTGAAAATGGGGTTAGATGCGGGAAGGAGGGGGCGGAAAGGGCGGGGGGGGGGTGAGAAGGGGAAGGCAAGGAACGACGAGTAAAAGACAGTGCGATTAAAGTTCGTGGTCGTGGTCAGGAACATGCGACATTTACACATCGAGTACATTTAAAAGTGTGTGTGTGTGTGTGTGTGTGTCTCGCGTTGCCCCGCGCGTCGCGCAAGCGCTCGATCCTCGCTCGTTAGCTTCGTTAGCGATTTCTAGCTCGCTGTTCAGATTCGCAAAAAAAGAGAGAAAAAAAGAAGATCGCATCGCGAACGAACGCGGATTGTCCTGGGAAAATGGTCGATGGCCGGTGGACATCGGTACCGTCGCCTTTCCTTTTTTTTTTCAACGGGGAACTCAATTCTGAAAACTCTGAAAACTGAGGGTCGACTTTCGCACGCAGCGGCGGAAATTCACACTCGATCTGAGAGCGGAAATCAAACGACTGTTGACGATTACGGGCTCACACATCTCGCGCGTAATACGTCCGGTCGAATTGCTCTTTATTCCTTGTAATAACTTCGTCGTTGGAAGGAAAGGTAAGGTAAAGCCTTGCGACATATATCCTGATCGTAATATCGATGTAACTCCGCTATGGCACGGTTTTAATTTTATTCTGTGAGATCAGTGTTGCATGTTTAATACGTCGATAAAGGCGTTTTCTCGTCCCTCGTCTCTTTCTCTCTCTCTCTCTCTCTCTCTCTCGTTCTCGCATGTGGCTTACCAGCTTCGGCGCAATACTTGCGCAATTACGCCCGCGACAGGAAAAGATATAGAATCAGCGCAATTGAACTAATACGATTACGCGTGAATACGCCTCGCCTTGTGTCAACGTAACTTACTCGCGCATTTATAACGCGTAACATTCTAACGAAACGAAAAACGGGACATGTCACGGAGACACGCTTCAAGAAGTAATTTAGAGAGACAGATATGACGAAAGAACTGCTGGTACTGCAACCTTATAAATAAACGGCAGATTATTAGAGTGAAGTTCAATCATTAATATGTATCCCTTTCTTTCTTATATATATATATATATGGTTCAAATGTTAATTATCCTTTAAAGGCGCCTTCTCTACAGTACAGCAGCCGGCTAGCAGGTTCTAACTCCATTTCCCTTGGTAATGTCTTTCTATGATGGAAATGTCACGGCGAAACCTTTCACCGGCCTGTTCATCGCTGACGTCGACGGTTGTAATTTTATTTACAACAAACAATAAAGTGAACGCCGCGTAAAAAATTCAAATAGCAGGGAAATGTTAAAACATTCGACATCTCACCGGTGAGGCGCTCTCTCTCTCTCTCTCTCTCTCTCTCTCTCGGATCGATCGACGAGGCGAATGTCTCATCGGATCAATCTAAAAACACACGTCAAGACACGGAGACGCGTATTGTCGCGTATCAAATTACATGTGTCAATATCGGCCACCGATTAGATCTAACGACTTTTTATCGAAGACTGTTGTCACAGACATTTCGGCGACATTATCGAATTTTTCCCCCGATAACGGACACTCGAGAGAGAGAAAACAAAGAGAATGATTTCACTGCATTCGATTCAACCGCGAAGAGGAGCGTTTGCGTGTTCACCTCTTATCTTATTTTCGACACTCGACCGTTCGAGAGCGCAGCTCTCGTGGAGCTCTCTGTCGCAACACCCGGTAAGAGACGATTGCGAATTGACATCTCCGTGGTGTATCTGCGACACGCGAGCGAGCGAAAGGGGGAGCGAGCTACGAGAGGAGCAAGAATCCGGACAATTTTACGCTACCATTTTCCCGAGAGCTGACATTAAAATCCATCGCGCCGATCTCGCCGAGATTCGGGCTTGCCGGGCGCGCGAGCCACGGGGAATCGAAACGGTTTTTCGCAGTGTGGCTAATAAGTACCTAACTACAAAGTACGTATAGTTCGACCGCCCATTTACGCAACAACGTGTGTGTGTGTGTATGTGTGCGTTCACCGAAGGTCAGACACAACAATAGGATTCCTAAGTGTTCCGAGCTTTGCCTTTGCTCTCTCCGTCGTTCCGGTCACGATTATTCGAGGTTTCGCAATCGCGATTGTTAATGAATAATGATCGGGCGCGACTCGATCGGGCCGTGCGCTCGCGCCTTTCGCGCCCGCCCGCGGCTCACGGTTCGATCGGGACATTTTTTTCCCGACTTCCGGCTTTTTCCCCGCGGCGAAAAAACTGGGCGCACGGTTCGACAAAACCGGCGGGCCCCGACCCGCGTGTGACGCGACGTTTTATCCTCGTAAAAGCTGAGTGAATGAAAACGCATCGACCTAATTAACCGATCCCGCGCGCGTTTTATAGCAACGTCTTGCGCAACGACCGTGCGCGCGCGCGCGCGCGTGTGTGTGCGTGTGTATGGTGCGTGTGCGTACGTCGGCGTTATATAATTTAATTAGCGATTCAATATTGTCGTACTTTCAGAGAAATACAAAATTATCTCGCTACCAGATATTAAGACTTCCGACTCGACGAATTTCGACTTTTTTCTTTTTTTCTTTACACTCTACCACCTATTATTAATTAATAATACACGAGCCGGGACTCGCGGATCCCGCGGGCGAAATTGTCGAATAATATCCACCCGCGTTTTCGGCTACTTTCACTTCGACCGTTATCGTAGATAGAGATGTACACCGTTCGGATGAAGACGTGTGTATACTTACAGTAAGTCTCATAATAAATGTACGAATCTATATCCCGTCCCCGACGTCGGGGGAACGCTATTCTTTCCTCTCCTCGTGTTCGCGCGCAGTCGAATGAGAAGAGCCTCCTCCTGGTCGTGCTGAATGCGCGGCTTTCATCGTGGAAATTAAGCGATTCGAAGTTTACGCGTCGAGACGGCCATCTATTTACAGACGCTGAATGAATACAGCGCGAGGAGGAGCGGACATTTTCATTCAGTCCTTCGCATCCTGCGTTACAGAGGGCATCGAGAGGGCAAGGAATTGCTCGCAGGATTACTCCGTCTACCGGCCGAGCAGGCAGAGCATCTTGATTGGCGGTTGAAGGCGCGCGAGAGGTCGCCTATCCGCGAATCGTAACGATCCTCGCACTTTTCTCGCGTAATCCGCGTAAATTCGACCAAAATGAAATGAGACCGCCGAACCGGAATACCGGATAACAGCGAGCCGGGTCGAAAGTTGTCCCGCAGCGAATTATTATCCGCAAAATATCGTTCGTGAAAATCAAAGTGAGAGGGAGAGAGAAAGAGGGAGAGAGAGAGAAAGAGAGGGGGGGATCGCGGCTTCTCTCGGCACGAAGAAGAAAAAATGCCGAATGGAAATGAATCTGGGTATTATTCGGTACACGGAGAAGAAAGATCGGAATTGAATCGACACACTGAGAAAAAAGTACTCGAAAATTTATTCGTCGAAGGACGTAAGGTTTGTCTCACAGAAGTAAACCTCATTTCCGTGAAGCGAAAAATTTATCACCCAGATACATTTTTAAAGTACCTTTTTTTCTCAGCACGTGACAATGTGTTTTACTCCGACGAACCGAACGCGTTTCCGTCGAGGGAAAGCCAGAATTCCTAACTCTTACGAACTAAACTCGGCCCTTACAGCCAGAAATTCCGTTCCCTTCGACCGAAACGCATCCGATCCGTTCGTCATTATCGTCGCAACCGACCTTTTTTCCATACGTAACTTACAAAATCTCGCCCGCGTGACCGTGCACAGAAAAAAAAGAGTGCTAGATTCAAGTAAATAATTAATACTCCGACACCCCTTAGCACAGTTTTACTTTGGATCAAGTAAGTTTCACTCGGGATCAAGTAAATACTTCGCTTGGATAATTTTTCAAGACATTTTACTCGGCTCGAGTAAATATTTTACACGGACGATTCGCTTGGAAAATATTCTCCACGCTTTTTCCGCGAGGGCATTCATTCGACCGTCCGATAGAACGGGATTAAAGTCAAGGGAAAATAAATCGTGGAAATCAATTCGAACATTGGACTGGACTCTTCGTAAATAAACTTTGAATTTCACGTGGAGAGGCACCGAATTAATTTGCACGCCTGTAATACGCGTCCGCTTGAATCCAGCACTTTTCTTTCCGCGTGCTTTCCGGCCGCGCGCCGGCTTCCGCTCGATCGGCTGACGTTGCTTCACGGTGCCGAGGATAAGGGCATCCTCCGGGATGCCGCGTAATTCGGGGGAATCGCTGCGAGCGATTGGGAGAGTCGCGCGGGAGTTCGTGAGAGTTCGACGCCGCGCGGAAACGCGCGCTCTAATTGCTATGGACGGATGTATCCGTGTATCGACTTTTCCTTCCAGCCGTCCGTCGCGAGTTCCCTCGCCGATTAGACGACGGTAATGCTCTATTTTGATTGGCGATCAGCTGGGAACCCACCCCGTGTAACCGGCGCGTCAACCGCGACCCACGTGGTGTGGTACCGGGTATGTGTGTGTGTGTGTGTACCTATCGCTAGCAGGCAGTGTGTATGTGTCGCAAATGGGCAGCGACGCTTCAATTCCATGCGATTTGATTCTCTTCTTCTCTCCCTTTCGTGTTTGATTGCCGAGTCCGACGGACGCGCACCTCGTCTCGGCACATTTCGCCAGGTCGAGGTTGCCCTGCGCTAAGGCTAAAAATACCAATGCCTGGACTCTGAGTCGCCCCTAACTCCATCCTTACTGTTTCGCTCGTTAATTACGAATATTCAAACTTCCAACCGTGGAATGTACTGCGTGTGTCTTATAATGTGTGAGTGTGATTCGGGACGAGGAAAGTGAGGCCGAAAGTTCGCGCGAACATTTCTCCCATCTGACTTTGTTTCCGGGCCGCGGACGCTTCCGTATTATACCAGGCATTGGCACTTTTACCTTGTATCCGGCGCGATTCGGTCCGCGGGGGCGAATCCGCGGCCGTGAGTTCGCGGGACGAAGAGCGATCTTAGATAAATCCGCCCAGCGCGACGTGGAAATCCTGCAGATAGGCGAGCAGCTGAGGCATGGTCGGCCGATCCCTGGAGAGGCCGAGCCAACAGACCGCCATAACGGCGAACAGTTCATCGGGGCAAGGTCTCGGTTGAGCCAGTCGGTACCCGTCCCGGAGGCACGCCATCATCTCGAACGGGTCCACCTCCACGTACGGCTGCTGGCCCAGTGTCGCCAGCTCCCACAGGAACACGCCGAAGGACCACTTGAAAGCAGAGGGAACAGCATCTCGCGCGATCGAATGATTACAGCGCGGCCTAAAGCGTCTCCTTCGGTTTCTCACCTCCTCCGATCGCTCGGCGAGTTCCCGAAAACCGAGGAAAATGTCCGATTGGCTTGGCAACGTCCGATTCCTCCGTGCATTTCGATCGTCGATTGAACCGAGCGCGAAATTCGCAGGGGTGCGCGATCGGACGCAAAGCGACTCTCCTTCCCTCCTCGCGAGCGTTTTATCAACGGAATCTAATTATCTCCGCCGAGTGCAATTGCGGATAATCAAAGTTTCACCGGTCGCGTTTATCTCGCGCGCGCGCGTAATTCAGCGCGGGGAGCCTTTGTTGCTTTCGAGAGGGAAGAAAGGAAGTTTTCGAGAAAACAAATAAAAAAAGAGAGAAAGAAAAAGGACGCGCGACGATATTTATCTCCGGCATGAATTATTCGGATATCCTACCACATCGGTCGCCGTGCTGTACTGGTTGTGCTGGAGGCTCTCCAAGGCCATCCAACGTATGGGTCGGTTCTCGTTATCGCCGAGACAATGGTAGTCCTGGGGGAAGAGATCCCGCGCCAGGGCGGCGTCGGCCAATCTCACGCGAAGACTGCCCGGCTCGATCAGGCAATTTCTGGCGGCGATATCCCTGAAAACGAATGATCGATCCTGAGAGGCCGGCACGGGATCGCGTTGACGTTAAACGTGATAAGTGGAGAGTCCTGCGCATCGGAGCCGGGACATCGGCCCCTTATCCGGCAGCTTTGCGCTGTCGCGAGGATAACTCGAGTCCGGAAGAGGCATCGCCCGCGCAGCGAAGCGCTCGGATCCGAGATTTCCTCGCGAGAGTGATTTTTTACTCACTCGCGGAAAATCAATGCCGCCGACGAGGGATCCCAGCGGGAGAAGTGAAAATAGCGAGTGAAACGGTCTGGATCGGCGCGGAGAACAGGCCGAATTCGGGAGCCGAGGGGAAAGGCGCCGGGAATGTGCGACGTAGGTACGAGGAGGAAGATTCGTATCGATTCGAGATCGATATTCTTGTGTACGAGCAAAAATACGTAATCCTATGAGGATAAAACTTGCTTTCACTCGAAGAAATTCTATATAGTTCCATGAAAAATATCGTACTTTTATTATTCACAGAATCATTACTCAGGAATAATCTGTACGAATTGAGAGGTAAAAATATTGGATTAGGAGAGCGGTATCTTCAAATTGATGCGATTCTTAGTTCGAAGATATCGCTCTTCCTATCCGACATTTTCTTCCTTTACATCATCTCGATTCACATGATTTTCGCGAACTGTAATTGAATTTTAACAATAACGCCACAACGGAGGCGCGGACGGTTAAATGATTAATATCTCTCACCTGTGCAACAGTCCACGACCGTGCAGAAAGGCTCCAGCCCTGGCAATCTGTGCGCCAACGTGCACCAGGTCTCTAGTCACCGGATGATGATTTCCATCGGTAAGATAGACCTTCAAGTTCAGCTCGCCAGGTGTGCTCGTGTAAGCCAGCAAGGGACACGAGCTGTCCAGACAGGCGGCCGCTAAAGAGGCGATGTTGGCGTGAACTAATCCGGCCAGTTGCGAGCCCTCCACCACCAAAAGAGAGGCTTGGTAAGCGGACGCCACTTCTGGAACGGACACGATTACTCAGTCTTTGTGATACTATAATTTAAGGGAGAGCGAGAGAGAGAGGGAGAGAGAGAGAGCGAACGGTTTTTGCACGAGAATATCTCCAACGAGCGGATGAAAAATAATGGATGATAAATTATATTCAAATAAGTGGAGCGATCATAAAATTTGAATTAACAATGCGAATAATTATTCTGCCTGAATAACGTGGCGTTTTCCGAAATCGCGTTGAGATCTTTCAATATTTTACGCTACAGTACCGAGCCGGCAAATACCTGGCCGAGCCGGCGAGTGAAACGCGAGTAGCCGATGGTAGGTACACCGACTTTCTATTTTATCTTGAACAGGTATTCTCTCTCTTTCTCTCTCTCTCTTTCTCTCTCTCTCGTCGATCTATCAACGTGAACCCGTGTTCCCCGTTTCTTCGCAGGGAAGATTAAAGTTGCTTTTTACAATTTATTCGTCTAATAATACGACTACTTATTTATTATTTATTATTATAATTATAGTTGAATAAATATAATTTTAGTTGAAAATCTGTTTTTATATTCCCTGAAGAAACTATAAAAAAGAAAGAGGAAAATATCTGATTTCCGTTGACGACACGACTTTTACGTAGCGTAGCGCAACTTTGTCGCTATTTCTCCGGGATTAAGTTTTTACCTGTGACTGTCTTTATGATAACTTCCTGGTCACGCCCGGCTAGATCCAAAGAGCCTTTGTAAACGCGGCCAAAAGTACCTTCCTGCACGAGGCTGCGACAATACAATGCCGATCTCGAGACCGCGAGCGCTCTGGCCTTCTCACACGGATCAGTTGACTGAAAATCGACAATACATTCTGTGAAATATTCTCCAATTTATGCAACACTCATGGTGATTTATAACAAACAATAAATTAAATCTTCAATTATTTCCTGCTTAAGTAATCCTACAATAATGCGCACTGTATATAACAGGGATGCTATTCGACATACTTAAAACTTCGAAACTTCAGTATGATTCGATGTATTTGACAACGAAGCTCGAAGATTCGAAGTCGAATTCGAAGCTTCAAAATATCTTAACAGAAGAAAATTTCGAGAGTAAATTTAAACGAGGCAAAATGCTGCGCAATTAAAGAATATTAATTTAATCAGTTTAATCTAGATAATATTAAGCTATCCTAAGACGTTAAGGTGTCTTTTAGACAATGAAATGTCTAAGGGACATCTTTGAGGCGTTTTTTAGACATACGTGTTGCGTGGATAAGTATCTTTCTTCAATTCTGAGATTTGCATTTGTCCAGTTTAAAACAAAGTGAATGAAGAAAGCAAAAATAGCAAACAATAAATCACATTAACTTTACCGTAAAATACATGCAAATTTTGCCATGATGTGTAACGGCATGATGCAATGCAAAAAAAATTACATTCTTTACAAAACGACGTCTATAAGACGAATGCTTGTACTTTCCAATTCTCGAAACTAACCGAATGTTCGAATTTTAACACTTGAAAATTTATTTAATCAAATATAAACATATCGAAAGTTCAGAAATTCGAAGCTTCCAATATAATTTCTACCCCTAGTATGTGACACAGTTATTTCTTGAGATACTCCATGTGACAATTTTAAACGAATTATTATACTAATCTCGATTAGCCCGGAATGAAATATATATCGCAGAATCCGAAGCTACGGGACGGATCGGAGGATAAAGGAAGCTCATGGAAATGAAAAGATAATTTTTCGCGAACGGAGAGATGAAGGATGGAGAGTGCATAGTAGAATTATACCTACAATTACTTTTTTAAATCCTCCCTTTCTCTCTACTCCCTATTCTTCCCCCCCCCCTCTCTCTCTCTCCTTCGAAGAGGGGGATAAACTCTCCAATTATTTATATGTCGTAGTTAACAACTCGAGGTCCTCGTTTAAATTCTCGATCGCGCGCGGACGCGCCTGCATAATTCATAACTCCCGAAAAAGGGAAGAAGAAGAAGAAGGAGAAAAAATCCATCAGGCGAGGATTCATTAAAAAGGCATTTGTCGCGTGTAAGGTGACGCCGGCGAGACCCCCGCGGTCGGTCCTCCGGGGACGCGCAGGGAAGAAGCCTCCCCCCGGGCGTCGTTATGGCATCGTCGCGCGCTGCCTCTTTGTTCGCCAGGCGGATTTCCATTGGTCCCGACGACCGAGGTAAAACGCGCGAGGAGAAGCTACGCGACGCGCACCGGAGGGGTGACTATTCATTAATTTCAATTTTCCGGAGTTTTGCCTTCGGCCCCACCCGTGCCATTTGGACAAACGTGCACGCAGACGCACAGGCAGGAGGCCGACCGACCGGCCGGAGGTGTGCGAGGGGGGAGGCAGTGTGACGCCGGAGGTGTGCGGAAAAAAGGAAAGGAAACGGCGGGAAACGGCGAGAGTTCGGAACACGTCGATGCGAACGCGCCGCGCGACTGCCGGATTGGATTCAGGAAGGGTTGCAGCGTCGAGGCGAGGGGTAGCTCGCGCGCTCGAATGGACCGGCGCGCGTACGGACCGGTCGGTCGGTTTCAGAAATTATTTACGAAATTCCCGGATAGCGGCGTGGGATGCCCGGTGAAAATGCAAACACCGCGGCTAATTCCGCGGCTTATCGAGGTCTGTGATTATTGCAGAGGCGAATTGTGTCGGCGCGCCTGGCGAACGTTGTTTTCGCGCGCGCGAACGACGGGGGAAACCCCCCCCCCTGCGCCCCCTTCCTCCGGTCGGATTCGGACGAACGCGATTCGTCGATTTCGCTTTCCCTCGCGGTTATATTTTTTTCGCCCTCTCTCTCTCTCTCTCTCTCTATCTCTCTCTTTTTCTCTCTATGTGTGTGTGTGTGCGCACGCGTGTTTTTTTTGTTTCCCGATGAAAATGTGATGAGCGAGGTGGAAATTGCCGCTGCGACCGGGGACCGCTCCGACGCGCCGAAGGTGCGAATAGAATCCGGACTGGCGTAACGAAGCTATAAATATAAATTGCCGTAAGAATTAAAGTCTCGTCTGGTTTCCGATTGCCGATAAATTCTACGGCGCGTAAATTAAACGCGCGCGACCGCCGGGACGGAATATATTCCTTATTAAATTTAATGTCCTTCCTCTCTACCTTCATTTTTATTATTATTATTATTATTTAGCCGGTGCACGCGCATCGTCACAAAATCGGTCTGTGGGTAACTCTGATATTATCAGAGTGTCAGAGAAGCTATACAAATACGAGAAGTATTGCGCATTTCAGATACGCGTGTACATTGAAATTCTGAAAACAACCCTGGCAGAAGTGTATGCGGTTTTTCCGCAGACACCCAGCCGGTTATCGTCCAGTTATTATTTCGGGAAATCGGAATAGATTCCAAAGCAGGTCCCGGAAAATTGTCCACGCCGATGTTAGGGAGAAGTTAATAAATTGTCCAATAAATGCTGCGAGAAATGTATGAAATTTCCAGTCGGGATAAGCGAGGATGAAAATCGCATTGCCTGCATCACTTAAGGCGTGTCCGAAAATTCACTGGCCACTGCCGTTGAAAACTGCAGCTCGTGCACGCGTATGCCATAGACTTTCGGTAGTATCGGAAATGGCAGTGAATGACGAGACACAGTCTTATTTGTTAATCGGAAAGGGAAGAAATATTACGATAGAAGGCATGCGCGGGACATGCAAAACTTTTCATAACAATCTAGTAATGGATATTACTTCGCTGTTTACATTACTGGGATCTGAATCGAAGTATCGAGCGTGTAGTGCCACAGGCGGGCATTTTTGCTCATCCGGTCCGGAGCGGCAATTTGATTTATTTACTGAAAGGCTCTCGTCAAACATCACGTTCGTTCGTTCGTTCGTCCGCTCGTTCGTTCGTTCGTTCGCCTCGTACCTCGTTGAAGGCGCTCTAAAAGCTTCGTTTCCACGCTACCGCCGTTCGACATGCCCAGGGCGACGTGCACTTTTAATTCGACTTTGTCGATTTAATAATACAGTTTCCCGTCTCACTCGATTAAGAGCGGCCGCTCGGCAGAACGAGGACGGACCGGAGCGCAACTCCGCACGCCGGTGGGAATTAATTAAATCGAAGAATCGGGGGCTTGCGTAAGCCCCCGCGCGACTAATAACGCGGCCGACTCGATACATCGGGACGTAATTGCTAATTCAACACGAGGCAATCACGCCGCGCCTGCACTTTTGTACAATCCGCCGCTCTCGCGCTCCTTCTTAGGAATGATTCACGCGCCGTTTTTTTCTTTGCTTTTTTTTCCATTCTCGCTCGTCGTTCCCGTCGAGTGTATTTGCCGAGGCTCCGGGCGCAATTTACGAAACAAACCGCCAGATATTTCCCGCTTTCCGGCGTAAAAGCCTCCGCGTTTCGCGCTCGCTCGCGAGAGCGTGATGCGATTCTGGTGAGAATGACTTGAAAATTTTGATTCGAATGCGGAATACTCGAATTAACCTCGTTATTCGCGATGTTGTTTTCTTCATTTACAGGCGCATAACGCTCATCTCTTTCTCTATCTCTCTCTCTTTCTCTCTTGCATGACGACAAAGGTGTGCACATGCGGTAAAACGACACATTTTACTCTCCAAAGTACAATCACTGAGTATTATCACTGAGAAGCAGTTAATAATCACTAGTAATCGTAGTTATAAGTACAGCGCTGCAAATATTACAGTAAAATTTCGCTACGAAAGCCTGTTAATAGCAGCAACCGTTCCCATCGGAGAAATCTAACCTGCGGAAACAGTGAAAAAGAGAAGTTATTTATCATTCTTTCTTTATCATCTTAATATCACTCTTAAGATATCGCCGATGATTTGGTCGGAAATCTTACTCGAAAAACATATATCTTATCCCGACGGGGCTCGAATTCGAAATCTCGAACTCTCGAATCTGCTATCGCACGAACTACGCCAAATACGACACATGGTCGAATATGCACGCGCGATATGCGCATATATTTCCGCTACGGGAAGCGTAACAGCGATTTACGGCGAATCTCTCACCGGCGAAGATCGATCGAGACAAGAGAGAGCTCGACGAAAGACTTGCCGATGAAAAAATCAGTGAACACTCATCGGTTATCGATAGAATATTGTTTCGCTGACTCAATTAATTTATCGACATATCTTTTTGTCAAGTTAATTAATTGATACTTTCGCTGACACAACTTAAGGTATTTTGGAGGAGCGGTCGGAAGTCAATGCGCGAGCGAGGAACTGCCTTCGAGGGAAGACGACGACGCGCCAGCTCGGTGCCTCCCTCGTCGTCGTCGGGGGTGGAGGACAAAAAAGTTGGACTCTTCAGGGTTAATCTTCCATGGTAATACGCGCGCCGGCAACTGTTCGCCGCTGCGTCGCTGCAAGTGCGAAGCGCGCGAGGATCAGATGGGAGGCGGATACACGGCTATCTCGGTCGCCAGCATCGCGCCCCGAAGTACGTCCAACTTTTACGAGGGAAAAAACGGCTATTGGCACCCGGACAGACCATGCGGAAAATGCCGGGTCGCCAGGCCATTTCGCCATTTCCTTGCGCGGCGGCTCGCTCGCTCGCGCACAAATCCACGACGCGGAGAACTGAGAGAGAAAGAGAGAGAGAAAGACAGAGAGAGAGAGAGAGAGAGAAGGAGAGAAGAGGAGAGTAAAGGAGAGAATCCACGGGAGGAGGACATGTTTGTCCTCGTGCCGAAGATCGTTTCCCCGATAGTCAGCGTCAGGTAATGGCTTCCCCGGCAATGGGATCTCAAGCGTATCGTTTTACAGGGTGGGGTAAGACGTCGCTGGATTACGTCAGAGAGTCGGTCGGTCCGAGAGAGAGAGAGAGAGAGGAACCAGCACTGGCTGAAAGCGGGGAGGGTAAGTTTTCACGAAGGTTGATGGTTACATCAATCGGTTAGTGTACGTGTCTGCGAGTACGCGTGAGCGACTGCACACGTCTCTCTCTCTCTCTCTCTCTATGTACGTACGCATGTATACGCACACAGGTACACGTGTACGTGTGCGCGAAGAGCGCTGGCGCGCGCGCTTATACCCCTCTATGTGTGTTCTCTAGGGTTGGTTGCGTTCAAGACTGAGCGTCGCGTCGGAGGGTTCAGGCACATACGCGTATACCCGGTAAATTGATCCAAGATCAAAGCCGAAACAATCACAGAACCCACTTCCAACCGCTCTCTCCTCTCTCCCTCCCTCCTCCCCTCTCTCTCTCTCTCTCTGTTTCTCTCGTGCATCTCCTGCCCTCCCGTCTCCTTTCCGCGCGCGTCTGAGAAGGGCGAGCTCCGGCTTCAACATCGGCGGCTGCTGTAACCGTGTATGCGTGCAACCCCTGCCGACATTCTCTCTCTCTCTCTCTCTCTTTTCCTCCTCGCCCTCTCACATGCCCGACAAAGTGCAGGTGGTATCCAGTACCCGTTTCTTTTCCCGGGGAAATTAATGCAAAACGCTTGTTCCGACAAGAGAGAGAGAGAGAGAGAGAGACGGCTCGGCAGAAACGCGATCTCATATTTATTCGACATTTTCACGCGATCCCTCGCACCTCCTCTCCTCTTTGACTGCGCACTCCGCGGGGAAGATACTTCAGGGGATGCGGAATAATAGCGGCGGGTAATAACGCGTGCATGAAACGGTAGTTAAAAGGACGCGCGACGGGCCGTGACGCGGGCGGCGGCGGCGATTGCGTGCGGCAGCAGCCGGTTATTGAATTCGACCTTTACCGATATTGCGGCCGGCAATCGTAAATATTACGCGTGCCTGCGTATAAACGCGGCGCATTCCGCGGGTACTTACGAATTGCTTTATCTCCCTATAAAGATAGCCGTGTGAACTACGTTAGCCGCTTCTCGCGAGCTAACGTTCGGCCAATGTTCACTTTCCTCACTCACGGACGACAATCGGCGATCTTTCCCTCAGCTTGTTTTGCACATTTAGTATATAAATGTAATTGTTAATACTTTTCTACCTCAAATATTCGCAGGCATTACAAATTATCGACAAATACGACTTCCGGCGAGAGGAAGAGACGATCGATTTCCGCCGTGAAAAGGGAAAAGACACACGGCAATCGGCGAAGAACGGATCCAACCGAGCGATCGATGCGCGAAACGTCTCGTTCCCCCCTCCCTCCCTCTCCCCCGGGGGTGCGTGTACTGAAAGCTGGCAGAAGGATCAAAGACGCGGCCGGCAGTTAGGTATGTCAAAGCAACGATAGAAACGGACGGTGGGATTCCGTTCGCTCGAAACGGAAATCGGCGGCACGCTCGAAGAGACGGAAGCCGAAGCGACGAAAAAGCGCGCTGCACGCGTCGAGCTTTGGCGGTCCCGTTTCGTCTCGTCTCGGCTCGGGGGTGGATGGGGCTTGTAGGTCGGCGGGTTTAGAATCGCTGAATAAAGAGCCGAAGCGCTGGAAAGGGTTGGGCGGCAAAGTTGTCCGTGGAAAGCGGCTCGCTCGGCCGCAAACTCGATAAAGTTGCGAGGCACTCGTTGTGTGTATACGACGACGACGAGACGGGGAGACGCGGGACGCGAGTTGAGACAGGGGGAGGGAGGAGTCGTCTCGCACTGTTTCCGCTTCCGGTAGCCGATGGCAGACGCCGAGTTCGCGATAGTGAAGCGGAGGAAGGAGCGACCGGGAGAAAATCGGATTTCCTGACGCGCAATGCGAATTTCGCCGTCCATCGTCGAGTCTGTTTCACGGACTGTTTCGTCGCGATTAGGAAAAAAAAAAAAGGAACGCGGCGAGTCTCGCGGACTCGCGCGCGGTTTCCCGCGTACACAGCGGAAAATCTTGTGTAAACTCCCAACACTTTCCACACGTTCCGCACGGTCCGCGTCCAAATTTTTGCGTTCGTTCGGCACAAAGTGAATACGTTGAATACCCGGGGAAGAAATGATTAAATATGACTATATAAAATCATAATATGAATTTGCCCATATATGTGGTTACGTATGATCGTGTATGTGTGGACGAGAAAAAAAAAAGATGTTATGTCATTTAATTAAACGTCGATATCGTGTGCTGTCAGAAGCGTTTACTCCGATTGCATTTGCATATAATTTGTAAACAACGGTATTTTTTCGCTCCGGACATATGTGATTGTGCACAGTGAAATATGGGCCGATTTCACACGTGTTGTTTTCTCTTCCCGGATAGTGAAGCGAGCAAACATGACATATCAAAACTTAACAGACGGCAACTGTTACCGAGGCGAAGTAACCTCCAAAGCCTGGATCTACAATGTGCTCCTTCTGTTTCTCGTTTCTTGCACCCGGTCTCCTTTCCATGTGCAAATGGACGTTCTTACGGAAGAAGGATAGAGAACGGGAAACGCATTGCGAGGAGAGCGCATTGCGGCCCGGGCTTAAAGCTTGCAAATGATCGGTAGGGTGCCGGGCGAGCCGGCCGAGGTTTCCGTCGGTCTTCTCCTTTAAAATAACATCAATTTTTCAATTTGACTCAATGCGACTCGGTTCGATCGAATTCGAGTCACAAAAATCAGCGACGCGAGATAACGTGAGGGACGACGTTTCACGCGGAGACGCATAATCGTGCGATCAGGCGCGATGAATGCGAATTCACGAGAGGTGGACGGCCCTTACGCGATACATCAGTCATCGAGATGAGCAATCCCGTGTGAAACGCCCGCGAAATCCTCTCCTCGCATACCTGGCTGAGATGCGTGACGTGGCTCGCCGCGTAGTAACTCGCTCTGGAGCCGCATGGCCTCGCGTAGAGCGGCTCGAGGTCGGCGATGGTGGCGTAACTTCCGGAATTCGCGCTTCCGGGCCGTGGGTCGACCCTAACTAAGACGGAACTTCTGGCCAGGCCACCGGTGTCAGCCGCGGAGTAACTGCAGCAGGGCAGAGTTTTCCTGAAAGGACGAAAGGATCTCAGCAGCCGCGCGATTGTTACACCTGGCTTAATTATCGTTACAATGGCGCGGCCCGGCCGCTCCACCCGTGAAAGCGGCAGCCCGGGGATAATTGTCAAGGATCCCCGCGGATCCCGCAACGCGAGCAGACGATTTTGCTGAAACAAATTTTAACACGCCGAGCACTCCCTACGACGGACTGCGCGCGAATCCGGGGACTCCGTCGTCGATTTTCGACGACGCTGCGGGGAGGATTATTTCCACCGACGTCTCTTCCTTTCTCTCTCCGCATGCGATATTGAAGTAAAAGAGAGAGAGAGAGAGAGAGAGAGAGAGAGAGATACGGAACTTCTCTCGGGAACCCGCGGCTATCGGTTACGTCGCCCGTTACATCATCGTCGAGCCGCTCTCCGCGTAGTCACTTCACGAAACGCAGTTACAACCGCGACTCGCCCTACAATGTGCGAGCAAACGTTCGCCGTAAGTGAATTTGGAATTTTCTCAAAGCGCCATACGCATTCGCACGGGTAGAGAGGGGAGGGGGACAACGTTTAAGGTACTTGATCTCCGGAGTCAAAAAGTGTGCGCCGTGACGCCGGCATTTTAACCGTTTTAATTTAGCCACGGGGGGGGGGCAACGACACCGAGAATCGCCGTGTATAATAGGCGCTTTCAGCAACCTCTCTCCCGCGAGACCTCACTCGCTCGTAATACACCCCGGGTTACACGCAGGGTTCAAATTATAACGTCGTTTACGAGATAGACGGTCGCTCCACAAAGTCCGGCAAATATACCCCTGCCGCTCCCTTCCTCTTTCCATCCCCTTCTCTTTCTCTCTCTTTCCTCCCCGGCAAAAGGTAGAGGGCAAAAGTGGGAAGAACGGTGTATTATCATATTTCAGAAAGCGTATCTCTCCATTCCGCGCCCAGTACATAACCCTCAACGAGGAATTATCATCGACAAGAAGTTCCCCGAGTACTCTCTATCTCTAGAAGGATTTACATCTCGTCCTGGACGAGCTCCCGAGAAGCTCAAAATAATCCTCTCTCTCTCCCACTCTCTCTCTCGCTCCTCTCCCCTCCGTCTCTCCTCCTCTCTTTCCTCTCTCTTTTCGCCGACTCGCGACAAAGAAGCGCGTCAAATTCGATTCCAGCCCGGAGAGCGGCGTTTTCCGCCCTCGACTCGACTAATTAACTCGCAAACGCGCGAGTATATACACGCCTCTTTAACGTCCCAACGTCCGTTGATTCGGCTTTTACACGAGCGTGTGTCTTTCTGTTTTTCTATTTTTTTCGCCACGCCGTTTCCAAACGGCGACGGTGGAGGAAACTTGCGCGGAAAAGGAGGAGGAAGGAGAGAACAGGGGAGGAGCGCGCAGACGATGACTGAAAAATCCCAGCTGAGAAATAGGAGAGAGAGCGGATATTTTTAGCGATTTATTGGCCGTTTCGTGCATGTAAATCTCGCCGCCGAGCGTATTTCGCGAAAAAGACGAACGGGAGAGGAAAACGCGCGCACACCACCATCGATTTCAAATATCCAAGGCGCGCGCGCGCGCCCATTCGTGTCCGTTTATTTTTACGCGACCCTTACAGGAAACGTTTCGCCGGCAGATCGACTTCCGGCGGGATCTGTCTGTGCCTGTAAAAGCCCGCCCTCGTCCGGGACAGAAACGTTAAAGTGTCGTTCGGGAAAGTAATATCACTTTTCTAACTCGCGAGCAGGTATTCGCGCTGAAATTTCCATAGATCGAGAATTTACGGCGGGAGGATCGGAGGACGTGTCGGCCGATGTTATCACCTCCGAAGTGAAGCCCGCGTAGCAACTTTTATTATAATCTGATAAAGTTTAAGCCCCCGTACAGGGCGTCCCGGATTCGGCGTCTCCTCCTACCCCTGGAAGGCAAGGAGGATCGATGAATCCGCGCGAATCTCTCGCACCGTGCGGAAAGAAATTCCGCAAAGAGCACATCTTAAATTCGCAGCCTCCTCCGTACGTCACGTGCGGCGGCCGTGACGTCATAAACGATCTTCGGCACAAAGGTGCCGGCCGTCCTCACGAACGAACGGGCCGGCAATTTGGATCCGAGGTCGGACGTCCCTCTTACGACGAAGAAGAAGGACGTCGTCCGCGATCCCACGGGCTAATCGAGTTTAGCAACGAAGCGCGAGAATAAATATTTCAGGTGCGCGCGGGAAGCAGGGGTTGGAAGTTGCCGGCGCTGCGGGGCCTCTCGCGAGGTGAATTTCGCGAGTGCCGGTAACTACGGGGAAAGTTTTCGCTCTTGCGCCGCCGAATCTCGAAGGCGCCTTTTGTACCGCCGAGTTCGACGCGGCGAGGGGTTGCGACCGGGGGAACGACGAGGGCGGCCGTGTTCGTTCGAGCGAACGGATGTAAAATCTGCAGTTTTACCCGCCGGCGGGGACGTTACGCGACGACGGCGACGGAGGGAGAAGAGACCGAGGGAAGATCCTCGTTTTTCCGCGTGTTATCAGGCCGGAGAGCCTCAAAAGAGCTAATATATCCCGGGAGAGACAATTGGCCTGCGTCGTCGTCGTCGTCGGGCGGCAAAGGAGAGCGAAAAGGCGGCAGTAAAGTAAGGGCGCCCGGGCCTCCTTATAAAGGGGGTCGCTTTGTGCGCGCGATAAATATTTGACGTCTTCCCCCGCGAGACGCGAGATCATCGTTGCAGATGATCGCGCGCGCGAGAGAGCTCGATTGCATTCGCGTCACGCGCCGGCCAATCGCGCGTTGTTTGTTTCCGCGCGAACATCTGTTGCTTTCTTTTCCCGAACGCTCGCCGAAGCGGCCATCCGGATATTGATTTCAATTCCGCGATGCGGTATCGTCCGTGTAATATTTCAATCTCGCGTAAAATAACACCGGAGTTAACGTAATATATCTTCCCGCGCGCGCGCGCGCGCTCTTCTCTTTTTATCGCTACGGCTCGGCGAGGAGAGGCTATTTTTTTATGCATTACAGAACTATTGTAATTTTGCCGAGAATAGCGTGATGAATACCTTTATGCAAAGCGTGGAAATAAACGCGCGTGATCTTCTCGCCGAGAGTCGGAGAGAGAGTCCCTCTCCTCCCTCCCTCTCTCTCTCTTTCCTTCTCTGGGACTCCGGGAGGTCGCTGAAGACAAATCCGCGCTGTTTATCGCTTAACGAGAAAAATTCGCGCGAGACGGGACGACATCAAAGGAGCTAATGAATATCCGGGTAAAAGACAATTCGCCCTCTTTGAGGGCAAACAATGGGGGGAGGGGGGAGGGGGTTCGGAAGAAAGTGGCAGTGAGAAGCGGGGAGTAGCTTTTGCTTCCGTCCGTCTCCCCTCCCCGCTCGCAGGTTTCTGTCTTGTCCAAGTTCCTCGATTATGCCCCGAAGTGGAGGCACCGAAATGGAACATTCGATGCGCCAAAGCATAAAATAATTACAGCGAAAATAACGATCGAACTTTCCGCAGCGCGGGACGAAAGTTTTCGCATAATGTTCCACGTTAATAACCGGCCGAGCGGCGCGATACCGCGCGGTACTCGAGAGAGATCCGCTTGCTGCGTTTAATGGGAAAAATTTACGACCGAGGCGCTTCCTTCGATTTCCTTGTTTTTTTCTTCCGGTTTTCCAACGGGAAAACAGAGGACGATCCCTCCTGCGGGACAACCGGGAAGAATCGCGCATACGAAACAAGTGTGAGACAAGATGAGCGCGTAACCAGGGTTGCGGCGAACTCGGATCGCAAAACAAACGAGGATCAACTTACAAGATCGCAACTGATCTTATTTCTATAACTCCTTCCTCTTCCTCAATTTGTCCCGCAAGAGAAATTGCAAGCTGGCGACGCTGTAAATTGATCGTAACCTTTCGCTTGAGATAGCGTTCTTTCTGTTAAATAATCGGTGGGAGGAGTTCCGTTGAATGAGATCAATCAAATTTTCACTCAAACAAATCATATTTCGTACAAGCACACGTTGTTTCTATGAAACGAATTCCAGCCAAGTGAATCGAAATATTCTAATATTTAAAGAGACTGTTTTCTCGATGTGAGAGGCTCCTTCGTAAATTTATGATTCACTGGAAAAAGAAAGACTTCCCTGTAACTTGACTTAACTACCTGAGTAACAAATGTTAATTTTGAGCGGGATTCAGACCGGTACACAGACGCAGGCAATATTGCAAACACAGAGATACTAGTTGTTCGTTTCTCATCAGCGCAACCGGAACTTAACTGATTCTGAATTAACGCGATGAGTTCGCGCTATGAACGCGAGGTAAAACGGAGGACCTCCCACGTTTCGAGCTTACTGTGAGAATGAAAGGACAACCTGTACATAAAATGGACGAGGAATCTTCGCGATTCACGGCAATAGGTGAGTAATCAGCATCGACGGTATCCTCGTCCGCGAGGAACGAGCGCGATATTAATTTCAGAAGATGCCGCAGCGGGTGTTCGCTTGAGACTCAACTTACGCGCTCAGTATCTCCCTCTCTCTCTCTTTCTGTCTCCCTCTTCTTCCCTCGGTGAAAAGCCGTCGGCGAACAAAGAGAAGAGCACGGATATGGAAAGAGAGGTAAAAGCGGATCCTCCCGACCCCTAACATCCTCCTTACATTCTCTCCCGCAGGAGTATCCCCCGGAGGGGCCGGAGGGGAGAGGGTGCGTATAGCTATGCAATAAAATGTCGGCTGCCGTGCCAAGCGGCCGACGGATCACCGACGGCTTATTGAAAGGATATTTCATTCGGACGAGTTCCTCCTATCCAGCTTATCCCCGCGAATTTCCCGCGGGGGTGCGGAAATCTTGCCGTCACTCTCTCTCTCTCTCTCTCCTCCCCCGCACCCTTCTGCTCCTCCTTCGGCTCGCCATAACGGCTTGTATCGTCGTGCTCGGCGGAAAATTCGCGGCACCGCGCGGAACACGCGCTCTCGCGACTTTTCACTCGAGCGACTCGCGGAAAATGAGAGCGCGCCCGGCGATACGTGAAAAGCCGCATTTACGGCGTCGCCTTATGACGACGGCGCGTCTTACGTAATGGAAATCTCTTCCTCGAGCACCGATTTATTTTGCGAACGGAGGCGGGGGGACGGGGTAAGGGGGAGGGGTGCGGTCCTTTGAAACGCGAATTTAATAAGTGATAGAACGAAGAACCGCGACGCGCGCGTCCATGTTACGTCCTCCGTCTCGTCTCTTTCAGACGGACCACCGCTCGCGGAAAACGCGAGTCGGCTGCTTCAGCGAAATAATTATCGTTCCGTTATTGCACGGAGTTGTTATTCGTGGCTGTAGCGTTTTTCATAACGCGCGTCGCGCCAGCCGGTTGTCCCGACAAAAAGGAATTGAGGCGAGAAAACTCGCGGAGATAAAATCAAGAGAGTCCTTTCTTACGCTTCGCACTGAAAAAATTGTATTCCCGCGCGGTCTTCGTCTTTTGAAGCAGTCCGAGCGTGAATTCATTTTCTTAGGAATATTTTCAAACTTTAACTGACATCAATCCAAACACGATCTATATATACGTAAAATTAGAAACAAGATCGGCCATACCGAAAGTGAGATAATCGAAATCAAAGTCAACATTGTTAACATTATCACAGATACAAAAACGGTTTCCACCGTTTCAATTCTGGCAACCAAATCACTTTCGTGGTTTCAGTAAAAAGAAAAAAAAAACGAGAAGACGACAAAAGGAACTTGTGCAAATATTATAAAGAAATTACAAAATCGCTGATCATCCAGTTTTACAAAAAATGATAATGCAAAGCAAAATAAAGGATGCATCATCGTTAAGTGACTGTTATTCGTTAAGGCGCTCGGTTTGTTTTCTTCATTCGGTTGAAAATGAAGAATTTCTACTCACTGCGATTCTTGGACGCGGGCCTTGCTGTTGCGAATGTACAACGCGGTCGCAACAATGCCGACGACCAGTATTAAGGCGAACGCACAGGTAGCTGCGACGTAAAATGCACCCGCACCGTTCACCAGCGGGCCAGGCTCCAGACGCACCGAGTCGTTCATCGGAGGAGTCTCCACACCTGCGAGCGGGTGCAAGTCACTTCATCTTTTCACATATAACCTCCCATAATCCATACACACCGAGAAAAAGGTTTCTCCAGATTGATTTCTATTTGTTTGAAACTGAAATTTGTTTCATAAAAACGAATATATACGAAATATTCGTTTGAGTAAAACGAATATTCGTTTTACTCAAACGAATATTTCGTATATATTCGTTTTTGAAGTAAAACGAAATATTCGTTTGAGTAAAAATTGTATCGTCTCACTCAAGAAAACGATTATTTATTAACAGAAAGAACGCTATTCTGTGAAATAATACGTTTCCGACCGGATGAAATATTATTCGGTCACGATAAATATGTAAAGTGAGACGATTTCTTTCTAAGAAAATTGTCTTTCGTTTCAAACCAATTTTTTTATCGGAAATAAAAATATATATTCGTTGAGAAGTCTAGCGATCGTGCTTATTAATCGAAACGTTAGTTTCTTTGGTACATGCCGATGATGAAATTCGTTCGGATGCGGTGAAATGGATGAAACTTGGAAAAATCTTTCTCTCAGTGTACTTATTTCTTCATCACTTTATTATTTCGTATTTTCTTCGTATCATTTAATTTTCGAGTCGCCTTGAATTTTTCACCCCGAAGCACCTTCGTTTGATGTCCCCCGTCGATATCGATCCTCCGCCTCCGCGCGTCGCGTTTTGTTTTATTCGACGCTTACGTTTCTACGCTCGTCGCGAAATAAACGCGTTTAATCCGCCAAACTCGCGCCGACCGCCATTATATAGTATCGGCAATCTATTTTGTCAATTGGAACATTTCCACTCGAGCCACGTGTGCTCGAGATCCGGAATCTATCGAGAAGCGATCCCGGACCGGATCCATTGTTTATACCTATCGCGGGGCTATCGACCGGCTGGCTACATCGGCGAGCCGATGGAAAATGCCGAAAGAGATCTCGCTTTGACGGTGAGTCGTTGGCCGCAAACCGCAAAATTCCCGACAAGTACAGAGCGACATCGCGATTTCGCGCGCGATTTGCTCTTACCTCGCGTAGCCGCGCGCGAACCTCTCACGCGTCGAGCCGTTTCTTCTCCGCTGCGTCTCGACGCTTCAACGTATAATCGGTTCCTTCTCATTAGGCGCCTCTTAAGCCGAACAAAGTTTCCGCTTTCGTTATTTCGGAAGCTGTTCTATTCCTAAGACACATGAAACGCTAAATGCAGCGCTCGCAGGAACTCCCGTTTAAACGCAGCTTCTAATTAAACCTCCTTAACGTAGCTGGCCCGTAAATTTATTTTCTCAGGAATGTCTTCTTCGAATTTTAACAGCACATCAATGCTGTTAAAACACAATCTGTACGCGTGTAAAATTAGAAGAAGGCTGACCATACCGAAATTGCGATAATCGAAGTCGAAACCAACGCTATTTGCATATACCATACACTGAAGAAAATAATTCGTAAAATAAACGAAATATATCTTGTTAAATATATTTTTGCAATTTAAATCAATATTTGTCGGATTTACGAAAGAAATTCATTAAACGTAATATCCTTTTAAATTTGCAAAATAATTTTGCAAAACCACGAGTTCCTAGATTAAAAAGTGTAATTTCTTTGATTTAAAATACCGTTGTACGAGAAAAAGCAGATGACGTATTTGCAAGAAAAAAGAAAATGGGTTTCTTTAAATGTAAAAATTGCGTGTTTAAATAAATATTTGCATTAACTTCTGAAGAATAATGAAAATGTAATGCAAGTCGGAACTTCGATTGAAAAATGTCAACTAGTAGCTAAAGAGACATTTTATACATTATGTGAGTTTGATTGATACTCCCTTGCTGTACGTGTGTCAAAGCTGTACATCATAAATCATATTTCAAATCGTCAAGCACAAGACTTGTCGAGCCTCTTCGTGTTGCACATTAACCATTCGCCTTCCTGCCGGTATTGTCGCGGAACAACTACCGTATTAATTCATCTCGCCTGCTGGAGTCGACCATTTCCTCCTCTTTCTTGCAATTTTCGAGTGGTCACAGGAATCTCGCGAATTACGCGTATATCGCGATTCAACGTCCTATTCGAGGCGCAACTCGGAGCTAGCGAGATCTCATCTCTCGATATAAAATGTCTCAATACAGTTGTTTCCTCCATCCTCGGCGGAAAAGCGCGGGAACGCCAACTCTCTCTCTCTCTCTCTCTTCCGCCGTTATCTCGCCGTCTGATATTTCTTTTCTCTCTATTCTTTCCCGTGCGTCGCAAGAAGGGAAGTCTCGGGTCGAACAGGCGGCGCGTTGTCGTCTCTTATAAAGGTAAATAGCGTGGCCTAGACGGGGGAACTTTAGAGCGCAAGGGCTCAAAAGCTTTCAAGAACCGTGCACGTCAGCCTCCGCTAGGATATGCCGAGGAAAGGGACGCATCCCCACGCGCGGGGACGGCTGAAGGGAGGGGGGGGGGTGGAGAAGGGAGCGTCATGATAAAATTAAGTAAACTCCATCAGCTCTTAACTCGTCCCCGAGATTATAGCGCCGTATAATCCCTAAATGCGTTCCTTCATCGGCGCGTTTCCCGTCCTGAGATCTAAAACAATTCTTCGTTCTCCGGCAAACTTGTCCTCTTACATACACCGTGAACGAGTAGAACCGCTGTTATCGTTTCCTTCCGGTCTCTTTCTCTCTCTCTCTCTCTTTCATTCCTCTCGCCTGCAAAACTCGCGCACGAGTAATTGTTTCGGATAACTGTTGCAACCGATTGTAACGGAGAACTAATTTGTGATTGCTTTCTTCTTTCGACTTAAAAACTTGAATTGCGACTCGACGAGCGTAGCTCCTGCCTTCCTCCGCTTGCTCGATTACAAAGATCGATGACTTATTAATCGAAACGTTAGTTCCTACGGAGCATGCCGATGATGAAATTTTTGTTTGGGTGCGATAAAATGTATGAAATCTGAAGGAATCTTCTTCTCAGTGCACCGATTAAATTCCGATCCTCCGGATTTGGAAATTATGCAGGTTAAAGCTGCAGGAGGTTCTATTTATTTTTAAGGAGATATATTTATCCGAGAGCCGAAGTTTCTTATTGCGGAACGGGGTGGTGTGTCTACGTGTGTGTGCGTGTGTGCGTGCGCGATAGTGTGCATGGTCTCATCCAAGTAAGTAACGTTAACGTCAGCCGCGAAGATAAAAAGACGCACCACGACGCGGGGAATATCTCTGAAACGTTCGTTAACCGGTCGTACCGGCCGCGATGAAAATGACAGTGCATTAAGAGCGCACGTTGTTCTCGCGGCGGGTGAAAATCCACCACGGACAACGGAGTATTAAGACATCGCCGACGGTGGTGGTACCGCAGTCATCGCGCGATAGTTCTTTCTTCCCTCACGTCTTTCTCGTCGCGGAAGCAACTAAAAAAGGGACTGGAAATGGCTTTTTGTGCAAGAATAAATTCGTAATCCCCTCTGCGACGTCATATCAAATTATCACGCACGTACCCGGCCGCGCTATTGTCGCTTCGTTCCCGCGCGTGAAAAATACATCGGCCTTTTACATAAAATTAATTAATTATCTCACGAAATATCTCACTAATCTCCACTTTAATCACCGTCGAAACCGTCGGGAAAAAGAGGTATCAGCAGCTCCGTTGAACATGTTTCCTCCGATTTTCCAAATTGTCGTTCGCATTACTCGCGACTTATGACGTGGAAGTGATCGACATACGAACGTTCAAATAACCATCGATTCTTCTCAGTTTCCTCTCTCGGTTACTACTGTCACGTTTACCTTCAATAACAATCGTAAACACGATCCTTCAGTTCTGCAATTGCATTACCCGCTCTGATAAGCCTCGTTAATTTATCTTATCTCTCTTTCCCCCTCACTCATTCTCCCATCTTGCAAATGGGAAACGTAGAATTCGTGCCTCCGCCTTTGGATAACGTGAACGAAGCAGATCAGCTTTACGTGATAGTCGAAGTGGAATACCGTGGACGCGAGCTACGAAGACGACGACGAGAAAGAAGGAGAGAGAGAGAGAGAGAGAGAGCCGGGAAGGAGTTTGCTCGAGCGCGATGAGACGTGCGCAGGAAGCAGTAGGAACAAAAAGTTAAATAAATCGTAGCGGCCCTCGGCGCTGCATCGCAACTTCTTAGGGGTAAACTCACGTCGTTCCTTTGCCGGAGTCCCTCCATCTTCCTAAAACGTTTCTCTCACACGCTACGACGCGTCCGAAATACGGATAAATGCTTTCGAGAGGTTCCCGAGACTCCTTCCCGCACTGCAGCTACCGGCCGGGCTCGCATTTTTGCCGCGCGCAATCGACCGTTTCTTACCGCGCTCTTATTATCTTCCTGTCTCGTATTTCGTATGATATTACACTTTTCGGCGGGGCGAGTGCGAGCATTCGCGACGCATTCGTAACGCGCAACCGGCGAACATTCCCGCCGTATGTTCTGTCCGAGCAACGATGCGCTCGCGGCGCGGTGTGATTTTACCATGGAAACATTAGCTGAAACTACGATATTTCTTACGGCTGCGGAAAAATAGCGACTGCCGGTTAGTTTGGGAGACTAACGGGACGGGATGAAAATAGAGACGGGAAAAATTCTACTCGCCACGTCTATTTTCTTTTTTTTTTTTTTTAAGCGTTCATACGCATCACACGCGATGCATTAACTATGAGCCATTTGGCGCGCATTCAACTACGACGATAGCGGCGACCTGCGCTAAAGAGAAAAAAAAATACGCTGCTTTATTTGATAAGCGAGATTTCAACCTCGTGACAAACAACCCGCGTGACTTCTAATCCCGGTCCTCCTCACGCCCGAAAACCGGTTTCGGTTACGTAAGAAGAGTAAAACAAATCGCCTTTACAAGTCGATTCGCGGGATCCATTCGGCGCCGACGACGCGAAGCTGGTGCGCGTGACACGATTTTACGGTACGGATTAATCTTCCCTCTCGCGCGATTTCTTTATCCGAAGATTATGCAGCGCGAACAACGCCTCCGTTCTCGCTCCT